CATCTTCCGAGTTCTGACAGCTGTACTTCAGGGCCCTGGGCAAATAAAGATGAGTAAGGGTGAAGCCGCCCGTTTGATTCTTTACATGGTTCTGGTTTTGATCATGACAGTCCTTTTAAGGAACCTTTGCCGGAAAGCGATTTGCGTTGTTCCTATGCCAGGCAGCCCTTCTTCAATCAGATGAGATTGGGCGTTGGTTCTGACTATTTGGATTTGGAGCAGGCTTCTTGTCAGTGGTTCATACTTGGATGGTCTGGGAGTTAGCTAAGTGGTTAGTAACCCTAGTTTGTAACCCATTTACCATGGTTGTAAGTCCCCTAAAACGAGGGTTGCTAGCCATTTGGCCAAGTCCCAGACCATCTAAGTAGGGGTGCAGCCCATTTTGGGGATCATGATCTATCGGCCAGCTGAAGTTATCTACGACCTTTTTGGGCTTCATGCATTTTGAAGCCGTTATGGGGCCAAAGACGGCTAGCTTCCCATGCTCAAGCCAATGTTACTCTTCAATTGACTCTAAGAGAGCGGGCCTCATGGCATTGTGTCAAGTCCGAACTACTGGTAGGGACCTTGCCACTTCCGGATGGTGTATTCTCTGGGAGTTTATGCACGCATCCCGAATCCCTGCAAGGCCCAATGTGACACATGTATTAAGGGCCCTTTGAGCAACCCGTGTAGCGACCCTACACATGCGGGTATGGTTCGACACGAGTGATGCCAAACGGAAGATCGCCGCCCCCATGGGTCGTAGAGTCCCCAAAAGGTCTGGTAATTCTGTAGCAGTGGGATCAAGGGGTTTATCCGGGGTTCGTCTTTTGGGAAGTCTGTTCTGTAGGCTTGGACATCCTTTTTGTGTTTTCCACCCCCATTATTGGCTCCCATTGCCAGTGGATCCGCGCTTCGGGCGGCACCAGTGAACTGTAGGGCTGGAGGCCCGACAAAAACACAAACGCGCCCCCTGCGGATTTTGTGTCGGGGAAAACGGCGCCGTTCTGAATTTCCGCTGCCGGGAAAAACAAAAACAAACAAAAACGGCGCGCCGCGGCTGCGA